CTTAGGCTTTTCCTAGCTCATTTAACATCCTCTAAAGCAAGGAGGGAAAAAGAGGTGGTGGAGATTAATCCAACCAAGGCCTTTGCAGTGAACCACCATCTCCAGCCCTGTTTGTTGTTGTTTTGTTTTTTGACAAACCGTCTGTTATGGATTAAGAACTGGTGGTCAACTTAACGCCAGCTGGATTACATCAGCATGGCATTGAGCGAAGATGCTCCACCTGAGGAAAGTTGCCAGGATAAATAGGTGGAGAAGAAGGGAGGCATTGTGGGTTCTCCTACAAGTTGCTATCTGAGCTGCTGGTTCTCCTGGAGAAGCTTTGGTCCTCACATCAAGCATTGCTTCCTGGCTCCGGAGGGGAAGACATGTGCTGCTTGGTCTCCAGGATGAACTCCTCACACTGCTTCCTGGCACATACCCAACTGTGCTTGTCATCGTCGGAGCTCAGGGCTTCCATGTCGCTGAGGACAGCTGTGGTGCCTTTCAGGATAGCCCTGGTCTTTGTTGTGAGTGTGACTTCTCGGCTCCAGTGTAGAACCCTCACCCCACTAGCACAGCTCCTTCATCCTGCTGGCATAGACTTTCTGGCTTCCACGGCTGACCCTTGGGTCTTTACGGCATGGATCCGTAAAAGAGACTGACATGAGTTCTTGTGGGCTCTGGACCTCCAGCTGGACTAGTGGAAGCATTATCCTGAGCTCTGGATTTTTATCTGGACTCATGTGGGACATTATTGTGGGGTTTAGGCTCTTGACTAAATAATCTATGTCTTCGGTGTTGCAGATAGATTTCCTGCATTTTCCTGTGTTAACTCCTGGTGACCATTATAAAAATAATATTATAAACTCCACGTCTTGTTTTCTGTGTACAACCTAATTGTTTTCTGTGTACAACCTCTGACTACAACACTGTCTTACTAAAATGCTACAGTGTTAAGCCTGGCCTGGAACTCATTATCCTCCTGCCTTGTCCTCCCATAGTGCTGGGATTGCAGGTGTGCGCCTTCGCACCCATCTCTTCTACAGCTCTTGATACTCCAATTTAGAGCTTTCACCCCTAATTTCTGGCTTTCCTAGCTGGAAAATAAAATAAAATGGTAATCTTTACCATTTGTTCTCATTAGTAGAAATGATGGCAAAAACTGAAGCATAAATTAAATTCTCTGTATATTTTCAGATTTTCAAGTTTATTCTCATTTCTCTGTTAACAGGAACAAGCAAAAGCACCAAAAATATTCAGAAAAGCATTATTCAAAATAACAAAAAACATGGGCTGGGATTTAGCTCAGCGGCATAAGGGCCTGCCTTGCAAGCGGGCAATCATGAGTTCGATCCCCAGTACCAATAAAAAGGAAAATGACCAAAAAAAAAAAAAGATTATGCCCAAAGCTCAATTTTTAAAAATAACTTTTAAATGTTAAGATACAATTTAGAATTAAGCCAAGAAATTTAAATACATTAATACAATAAAAAAATATGCAAAATAACATCCCAGTATTCAGGAGGCTGGGCCAAAAGGATCACTCCAAGTTTGACTTAGAGGCCAGCTTGGTCTACACAGTGAGTTAAAGGCCACCTTGAACTCTACAGCAAGATCTTGTCTCAAAAAAACTGAATGAACAAGCAACAACAAAAAACTCTAAAAAAGCAAAACATTTCAATAACATCAATTTTTTAAACAATTATCATAAAAGTGTTTATAAACTGCAATTGGAAAATCTGATATCTAAAACTGACAGGCTAACTCTAAAGTTCATATGGAAAAGCAAGAGATCCCAAATAGTCAAAATAATCTGAAGGACTCACTTTCTAATTCCAAACTTACTACCAAACGTTACAGTAATCAAAACAGTGTGGTAGTGCCTGTCATACAGACAACCAAAGTAATAAGATTGAAAATCCAAAACACACATACATCTCTGGTCAATTTACACTTCATAAGGTGCCACAACTCTTCAACTGGGAAAGAAGAGTTTTTTTCAACCACTGGTATTTCAGAACAACTGGATACCTGGATGCAAACAAAAGAAATTGTACACCTTTTTGTACCACACACAAAAATTAACCTTAAATGTAGTACAAACCTAGAGATGAGCTAAAAATAAAAAGCACTTGTAAGAATACATAAGAGGGGGCTGGGGATTTACCTCAGCGGCATAAGCGTCTGCCTTGCAAGCAGGCAGTCGTGAGTTCAATCCCTGGTATCGATAAAAACGAAAAAGACCAAAAAAAAAAAAAAAGAAAAGAAAAGAAAAGAAAGAATACATAAGAGTAAAGCTGTTAAATATAACACACAAGTGATTTTTAAAAAGCCCAGAAAAGTTGAACTTCATCAAGATTTCATTAAAATGAACAGTATATACGTCAAAAGATGTTATCAAGAAAAAAAGACAACCTGAAGAATAGTAGAAATATTTCCAAATCACTTAACTGACAAGTAAGTGTATGTAGAACACATTTTTAAAACCTCATATAAGCCTATAAAAAGACAATTCAAAGGGCTGGGGGTTTAGCTCAGCGGTGTAAGCACCTGCTTGGCAAGCGAGAGGTTCCAAGTTTGATCCCCAGTACCAAAAAAAATAAATAAAAATAAAAATCACAATCAAAAATGGGCACTACATCTAAACAGTTGTCCAAAAATAAAAATGGACAATAATTGTGAAAATATGCTCAACACTAGCCTTAAGACAAATGAAAATTAAAATCACAATGAGATGTTATTTCACATCCATTCATTATATTGTTACATTAAAAAGACAGATTACAGCCTGGCATGGGGGCATACACCTGTAATCCCAGTATTTGGGAGGCTGAGGCAGGAGGATTTCAGGGAGCTTAAGGCCAACCTGAGCTAGATAAAGATCAGTCTTAGCTTTGTAGTGAGACTCTATGTAAAAAAGGACTATAACTGCCTTAGTTATTTTCTCAATGCTGGAACAAAATACTCAACACCCATAAGTTAAAGCAGACATCTATTTTAGCTCACAGTTTTAAAATATTTCAGTCCAGAGTTGGCTGGTTCCAAGGCAGGACGGTATGGCATACAGATACGGCACAGGACAAACAGTCTATAGCATAGCAGGCCGGAAGCAAAGCAAGGGATTGAGGGAGTAGAGGTATATATACCCTTCCAGTATACTGTATATACACCCTTCCTTCCAGGCCATGCCAATAGTGATCCACCTCTTCCCACCAGGTTTCACTTCTCAACATGGCAACCAATCATATACCCATCAGTAGACTAACCCAGTACCACATATCCATGATCCTGTCACCTTCCAGAAGCCCTATCTCTGAGCCCATGAAGCTTTGGGCGGACATCTACATATAAGCTATACACATTAGTGTTGGCAAGCCATGTAAAAACTGCAACACTAAAACACTGCTGGTATCGAAAAATATTACAGCCACTTTGGCAGTACGGCAGTCCCTTCAGATGTTAGTTTTTAAGGCAATTCCATATGCAAACACAAAAACATATTCACACAAAAGCTTGTGCAGAAATGTCCATGGCAGGATCATGCACAAAACACACACTATTCACGACAAGTAAGTAAATAATAATGAAAAGGGAAACCAAATGCCCATAACTCATGAATGTGTAAGTAAAATACAAAGTGGAATATTATTTGGCCATAAAAAGGACCTCGGTACTGCTTACATGATTTTATACTCAACCTTGAAAACAATAAAAAAGCCAGCCATGATGGGCCTAAACAGTAAAAAACAGAACAAACATCTATAAAGGCAGAACGGTAGATAAGCTGTTTAGTGCTGGAGCAAAGGGAAAATGGGGAGTGACTCCTGATGAGTATAGGATTCTTTCTGAGATGATGAAATTTTCCTAAAATTAATTATGGTGATGTCTGCACAACTCTGAACACGATATCATTCTGAAATGTATTATTTTATAATGGTTATACTACATGGCATGTGAATTATATCAATACAACTTGTAAAAAATGCCTTACTACATGTTTGCGGAAAACACAGACTATTCACGACAAATAAGTATGATATTATTTCATTACTATGCTTCAACCATTACTTCATGGTTGAAGACCTTATAATCTGGATACGCTCCTTACTAACTTAAAGACTATTTCTTTAAACATTTCTAGATCCTAACTAAAAAGGAACTGCGGTACTTGCAACTGTCAGAACATTAAAATGAGATTCGCCCAAGATATCTTAGTAAAGATGTTATTTTCCTGTACGTGCTGAACTGTACTTCCCATTAAAACAAAACATAACTGCAGAAAAACATTCCACAGGGAAGCTTGCGAAGTCATTCTCAGAGAAGAAACTAATACTAGGAGGAGGGGTGTGGAAAGAACCAGGAAGGGGGAAGACGACTAAGGGAATTTGCCCTGCATTTTTAAGCCCAGGGCTCAGTTACATGAAATCCAACTTTTTTACGCTTTGTGAGCAGGCCCAGGGGCAAAGTCCTGGGCGCAGACCCACAGCCGAGGGCAACGCCGGCTGGTAGAAAGCACAGGGGCTGCTACCCAGCCCCGCGCGGGATTCCGCGTGGAAACCGAAGGGGCCAGGACGCGCGCGGGAGGGCCCGGACGCGGGAAGGCGGCAAGCTCGGCGCCCGGAGTCCTCGCCCGGCGCCGCCCCGGCCCGCGTCCTCCGCGTCTCAGCGCCGCGCACGCCCCGCGCTGATCGCGCCGGCGCCGGGCGCCTCCGGTGGGGCTGGTTCCCGACTCCCGCCCCATCAGGCGCTTTGTCCCAGCGCCGGCGGCGAGCGGTCCCCCGGCGTCTCCGCCGTGGCTACCGGGCCGCGCTGACAGCCCCTGCGGCCTGGAAGGCTGCGAGACCCGAGTCCCGGCCGGCTGGCGACCCCGGCCAGGCGGGACGCGGCAAGCGGCAGTCCGAGGACACTCGCCCTACCCCGGGAGCTGCCGCAGGCGCTGCCCAAAGCGCTCACAGGCCGAAGTCAGGCGCTAAACGCCTCGCACTCTGAAAACCACACCATTTCCAACATCCTCTGCTTACCCAAAAATTCTCGACGAAATGCGCCATGACCATCGTGCCACCGTCGCGCCGGGTTCAGCGTCCGCACCCGCCCGCCGCTGTGTAAACACGGACACGGCCCCACAGCACCCCCGCCTTTCGCCACCACAGCCACCGCCTTCTCACAGATCGGCCCGCGCCCTCCAGGGCGCATGCGCCACCTAGCGGCCGGCGCCGCGGGGCGAGCACTTAGAGGAGGCCTCTGCGCGCGCATGCGCCCGGCTCTGCTCGGGGGTGGATCTCCCTAGTGCAGTACGGACGCGGCTGCGCTGATTATCCTCCTGGGAAGTGTAGCTAGCTAAGTCTCTGAGGGGTAGATGAGGAACTGTCTGTGCCGTATACGTTGCGACAGACTCCGACCTGGAGACAGAGCGAAGGGGACGACTCTGTCCACTCATTCCTCCTCGCCAGGCTCGTGTGGCCGGCCCTCGAGGATCTCCGACAGACCCAAGTGTGAGCAGGCCCGGGTTAAAGAGACTTGGCTGCCGGCCACCCTGAAGAAACAGGGAAGCCTTTGGTCATCGGGTGCCTTTCCTTGACTAGCAGCTGAGAACCCAAACAAAAGTTTCCGAGGCCGGAAAGGAGGAAACGCCCAGTGTGTCCTCTGCGGGTGCTAGTGCTGCGGGACGGGCTGGGGGCAGACGCCAGCGGGCCGCGAAGGCGCCGCGCCTTCCAGGCTGCGAGCGTCTTCCAGGCGGCTCCCCGCGCCTGCGACCCGGTGGGGAAAGACGAGGCCGCCATGTCTCAGCCCGACGGAAGCGCCACTGCCCCGCGCTCGCCCTCTCCTGCAGTTCTCGGGCTGGACCTCACCGGGTCAGCGGCGTCCCAGACCTCCCATTGTAGAAGACAGACCCCACAGATAGGTTCAGTGTAGTTTGACCCATGTCAGACTTGTAACACTTCCGCGGATGTTTTGATTTCAAACAATGAACGTTTTAAAACACTTTATTATCAAAAGAAGATAAAAGCTATGTAATGCCTTTCACCTAGAAGAAACCATAAACCGTTTTTGTCAATTGGGGAGCGAGTGGATAATGGTCTTGTGATTATATCTGTTTAGAATGGCTTTGAGAAATATGTATCTTAGAAATCAAGTGATGTGTTTTAAATATATATAAAGATGAGACTTCCAGGGTTTGCTCAGATGTAATTTGTGGAGGATGGGGAGGAAAAGCAAGAACATAGACGAAACAAGAGGCCATAAATTGATACTAGAGCTGGGTGATGGAAATGATAGTTCATTGTACTATGCTTATTTTTTTGTTAGCTGTTCTGTTTATTGAAAAAGTTACATAACACTCTTTCATCATGTTTTGAGGAAAGTGAGGGGTATGTTACAGTTCTCTAAACCATCGAACTAACTAGATCATCCTCGATTCTGAAGAAATCCAGCCATGTAGTTCACCCTGCAAATGCACTGGGCATTAACTTGCTATTATCACAAAGAACTGCTCCCCTTATATCGGGTCAAGAAAGGCGCCTATCTTGGACCTCGTTCTTCACAGAACTTTGCATATATACACACAGATTTATTTAAAAATACATGCATGCCTGTTACTCATGAACACTGACCCATAACCATAAATCCCCTCTCCTATGAGCATTATTCAGCCCCCAGGGAAACTAACTGGTATCTCTTGTCCTATACACTCAAAACAAAAGATGAACTCCAAATGCAGTGAAAATGTGTGGCTATTACAGCTGTCTACATCAGAAATACACTGCTTTGGAACTCAGATAAAATTAGAACATCACTTGTCAAATCTTTCCTTTCAGCTTACATTACACAGTATTGTTTCCCAGTGATGCTAAGCATAGATTTGCCTTCTCTTAGTGTTCCAATTTTTTGGTTACAAAACTAACATACTGTTCACAGAAGTTATATGCTACACCAGCCTCCGTTTGTATTCTTAACCTCTGGTTACATAAACGTTTGGAACAAATTGGACATAAAGATAATTCGATTTCAGGTATTTGTAAGGACCAAAACACCATGTATTCAAATTGACTGATGTTTAAATTATGGAGCTTTATAAATAGTGATTAAGGTGACTAAATTCCAGGAAAGATGGTATAATGTATGAACAATGTGAGTAGCCAAGCTTCATAGCACATACCTGTAATCCCAGCACTCAGGAGGTTGAGACAGGTGGATCATTGTGAGTTTAAGACCAGCCAGGGTTACAAAGTGAGTTCAAAGCTAGCCTGAACTACATAGTGAGACCCTGTCTCACTCAAAAAAAAAAAAAAAATGGGAGTAATATCTCAGTTATATGCCTTTAAAGTATATATGTCGTAGACATTTAGCCCTTATTTGTCCAAATACTCTTTGAAACTTAGAAACTAGTATGATAACATTGTACAGCTCATTGTCTGTAAAACCTGTCAGCTAATAATCACTCAGTAAATGTTAACTGAATGAATGATTAAGCTCATCAGAAATGGTCTTTAGGTACACAATAACTCCATTCTTTCAGCATGCTCTTTAATTGGTACTAGATCCTAGAGCTTATAGAAGATGTCATTAAAGCCTACTTCATTTAATTTTCTCACATTATTTTCAAATGAATTATTTTGGGCTTGAGCATACTTCTTAAAGGATAGAGTGCCTTTTGTAATAAAAATAAAATTGAAAAAGTATTCAAGATTTGGGGCCGGGAGTTTGGCAAGCACAAGGTCATGAGTTCAATCCTCAGAACCAAAAAAAAAAAAAAAAAAAATTCAAGATTTGCCTACCAAATGCTGGGGATACAGCTCAGTGGCTCAGTGCCTGCCTGGCAAGCATGAGGTTGTGAAAAGAAAAAAAAAATTGCCCTACAAGAGACCTTTTAGAAGTGGCTCCTAAATAATTTGGTTTTTCATTTTAAAGTGTCCCCACCACCAGATTTATCTTCCATTTAGGATCTGTCTCTTACACCTAATTCAACAAGTCAACTTTCAAGGGATACAGTTGTTTCCCAGTTAAACTTTGATCCAAGCATGTATATTATAATTCAAGGCATTCTTGGACTGTTAAAATAACAAGTGGTATCAAACAGAAGGAAAATTTACACAAGATAAGCTAAATCTAGATTCTTTGGTTTACAAAATAAGGCTTGTCTCTAGTATCTAAGAGCCCAGTCTCTTGGGCAAGGCACCTAGAGCACTTCCACCTTTCAATTCCTTAATATAATTTTCTGTTTCCAATTCCGGGTTCACAGCTCAATTCTGCATTCACAGCTCAAAGCCCATGAGTCAACATTTGACCCAAGGGCCATTTCCTCGTAACTGCATTGGAAACTAGTTCCATTCCAGAAGAGTTGGCTATAAAGTAAAACATATTTTTTTTCATTTGTCTTCAATGTCATTTTGCAGATGTACTTCACTTCTTCCCAGGATGTGAGTGGCAGAAGAGAAGCTTCCATAAACTGCTTTCATTTCCTGCTGATTTCTTCAAGAGGCAGCATACAGTAGTCAGGTACAGTAGCCCTTCTCCATAATCACTTTGTACTTAATAATTAACAGGTGGCAGAGGAAATTAAAAGGCAGGGGGGGAAAAAGGCAGATCTCAGGAGTCTGGAATTCTCTTGTTTTTCTCCACTTGATAGCGGCATATTGAAAGCTAAAGCGTTATGCAAAACAGAAAGAAAAGCAAAAGCTTAGCAGATGGCAGGCAGGCAGGCAGCTAGGAGAGGGCCAAGAGGCAAAAATGTGCAAACCAAATTGCAAAATAGAATGGACCTCTGTATACAACTCCTCGGTTCTGGACAGCTGACCAGGTTGCCCTTTCTTCTAAGTGACATCCTGGTCCCAGGTGTGGCACCACCCCTTCCTTAGGAATGAGGTACATTTCAGGGGCTCCTTCTCTATGCTGTTTGTGGAAGAGGCACAAAAACACCTGACAGGTTTTTCAGGGTTTTACACTGCTAGTGACCATAGGGAACCCAATAAGCTTTTCAAAAAGAAAAGACAATTCCCAAATTACAGACAGTCAGAAAGGTAATAGTAGGTTACCCTACATGAAGAAATATTTGTGATTGGTGTTAAAAGAGAAGGCAGAAGATGACATGGAAAATAAATTGTAAAAAATATGCATGTAAATAGACAGAAAAAAACATGGAAAAATTTTTAAGTGAAATAACTAACATTTTAATATAATGACTGTGCAACTTAAAAAACAGTCATTGTTCTTTGTATTTGCTTGAAGGCGAGTATAATGGGGCCTGATCTTCAACATCTTTCATTAACTCTTTTTTTCAATGATTCAAGCAGAAGACATTTATTGAGCACTTGTTATAATAAAAGATTGTCTCTGCTCTTAAGAAATTCACAGCCTAACACTGACTCATGATAAAGATGATGGCACAAATGGCACTTTTAACAAGAATGTACACAGAAGAGTGCCTGGCACATAGCCAGCAACCAAAGAACATTTATTAAATGAATAAGTTAATAAATCACAGTTCCAGAAAGAGGACAACTTCAGAGAGATTTAACTTGTGTGCACTGTTCCTCCCCTACCCACAAAGGAAATTGCCCAACACTCAGCTATTAACCAAGAAAATCTTCCTTTTCTGGTGATGGGTGAGGGCCATGAAATAGTGGAGTTTAAAGAACTTCTGATACAGTCCTTCTGGTCCAGCTAGCACCCTAGGAGATTGCCTCTTACAAGAACTGGAAGAACAGAGCATTAAGAACTCTACCACAGGAGCTCAAGCAAGGAACAGCCAAGAATGGAGGGAGTATACTTGGCCAAACCCAAAATGGAGGAAGTAAACAGTGCTTGGTCATCCTTGAAGACCAGCTGAGCTGGGCAAGAATCTGAGTCACCAGTTGCTATCATCTCGAGATGGTTTGCTCCCCAGAGGTTCATGTGCTGCAGAGTTAGTGGTGTTGAAGTAGTAGAACCTTTAAGAGGTAGGAGCTGGGGTCTAGTGGAAATAATTAAGTCACAGGGCCACCCCCTGGGTTTGGACTAATGCATGTATCATGGGACTACATTAGTTGCTGAAGGAACAGATTGTTATGAGATCTGCTGCCCATGAGTCCTTTTTCCTTATGCGTTGCTTGCTACCCTTGCATGTGCGCCCACCCTTATGATGCCAGGGCTGTGCAGATGCCTGTGCCATGCTCTTGAGCCTCCAGAACTGTGAGTTTAAATA